TCATGTGTTCAATACTTTTTCCCTGTGCCATTCCACATTATTACAAATAACTTAATTTCTGGACATTTATGGTTTGATTTCTTTGTACGTATGGATCACTTGGGTTGTTACCGACGTCTGGTGAAAATTTCATGTCATTAGCACCTCTAGTAATATACAGTATTTACTGAGAAATGTTGACGTTTTCAATACTTATTTTACCGTGTGTGTGTGTGTGTGTAATATTGACAAACACTAAAACGAAGGATATTCTATCTATAATTTCAGTTTTCGTTTAGTTTTTAGTTAACTATAATAACCCTGCAAACTGGCCACCCACGATTACACAAGCACTTAAAAACATCACCTCAAAGTCTGAATGGTAAAACCACAAAAGCCTTATTTTTGTATTTCTTTTTTCCTCTTAAATAACAGCTGAAGCTGCTGCAGTTGGTCAGCCCATAATCACGCTCACAGAGTACGGGACACACTGAAATTGAAACGCACACCTGAGCAGAACTAAATGAAGTGRGGTTTGCAAATGGAGAAGGGGCTCTTTTATTTAGGGCAGGGGTTCTCAAGTGCCAAATTGGCAAGAGGCCTGTCTTTTACATTGTCCAGGCTTGTGTTGGACAACATTCTTATWTTTGAGCTGCAGGTACAAGTGTCAAAACTTCAGTTTTGCTGTAAGAAAGTGGTAAAACAGTAGCAACCAAATGATCTAATCTTGGCAAATTTAGGCCCAATCATGAATAAATGCATCATGTCATAAGGAACACAATTGTGATGTCAAGTCATAAATTCACTTTTTTTTTCAGTTTTGCATCTCAAAACTAGTTGCAGCTGAAGTATGAACTTGTTTGTTCCAAGAATGATTAAGTATTAAACTTGAATGATTGGTAGAATAAATAAAACTGCAGAACCAGTAAACTGGAGAGAGTCCTCCTGCAATTTACCCCAATGATTTAAAATGGTTGTTATTGTTGAACTTTAGGATTTAAAGAGCAATGTTCTTTTCTTGTGAATATTATGTCTTCAACGACAAAAGTGCAGATTATTCAATTGTTCATGGTACTTCATATTTTTGTTCTCTTCAGGGTTGGCCAGCAGTCCAGCAGAGGAAAGTGACTGTCTGTTTGCCTTATGGGTGTCTTATTTGGAAATCTACAATGAGTGCGTGTATGATCTGCTTCAGCCGGCCAAGAAACGAATGTCTCTTCGTGTTTGTGACGACGGAGCTGGAAATGCTTACGTCAAAGGTGTGGGAAAATGTTCAAAACAGGTCAGGGGTGTAAATCCTGCATCAGGATGTTTGAAAACCAAAATTAGTTTCTGCTTTTTGTTTCAGACCTCCAGTGGATTAGCATTCAGGATCTGGGAGAAGCCTATAAACTTCTCCAGTTTGGAAATAAAAACAGAASTGCCGCAGCCACTAAAATCAACCAGTCGTCCAGCAGAAGGTGAAGTAAATATTTTCTTGCTTTATTTCAGCTATTAAAATCTTTATATTTTTTTTCTGTCATAGCCACAGCATTTTTACCATGAAGCTCCTGAAGATTGATGGACAAGCAGTGAAAAAGATCTCAGAGTAAGTAGAACTTTGAGACATAGATGAGAGACTCTTACAATCTTAACTTTATGATGTTTACGTGTTTTTTTTTTTTTTTAATGTGTAGTAATTTTGAGGGACCATTTAATGTTTAAAGTGTTGGAACTTTTAGATGACAGGTGGCTAATTAGATTGTACACTGCAAAAAAATGTCCATCTAACCAAGTTTTAAAACCTTATATCAGCCAAAAAAATCTTTTTGATCTTGTTTTGAGACTGATTTACTAAACAAGAACTGATTGTGCAAGAATAACAATCTTGTTTTCAGAATGTGTAAGATTATTTGTCTTAGCCTGAAAATTTGACTCATTCAGTCAAAAATAATTCGGTCAAAAATTTCTGCCAATAAAGTAAGACTTTTTAAAGATTTTCGAAATACTTTTTTTTCCTTCAAGAATCTTACCAAGTAAAATTTTCTTACTCCATTGGCAGAAATTTCTGACTGAATTTCAGTCAAATTTTCCAGCTAACAAGACAAATAATCTTACACATTAGTTACACAATCAGTTCTTGTTTAGTAAATCAGTCTCAAAACGAGATCAAAAAGACTATTTGGCTGATATAAGATTTTTAAACTTGGTTAGACGGACAGTTTTTGCAGTGTGTTTCAGCTCAGTCATGCTCACCAACCTCTCATCATGATGCTGCCGCCACTGTGCTTCACTGTTTGCAGCATGATGTTAAATGCTGTCTTTGGACAAATTAAGGTCTATGCAGCTTCTATCTCTGTCGCGGGTCTTTCACTTCCTAGTTGTATGATAAATGCTCTCTTGAGGTCTTGGCAGACTTCCTGTTGTGGCATCTTTTGTAGGACAACAAAACAGGTGGTTAATATACTGTATGTGGTGTTTCTCAGGTTCTCTCTCTGTGACTTGGCTGGATCAGAACGGTGCCACAAAGCCAGGACATTTGGAGAGCGGCTGAAGGAGGCCGGGAACATCAACAACTCCCTCCTTATTCTAGGAAAATGCATCACTGCCCTACGCAGCCATCAGATGGACAGGTACAGGAAGTAATCAGCAGCCCTTAATGATCTGTCTGTAGCACATTATATGCTTGTTTTTTATTTTATTTATTTTTTGTCAGATCAAAAAACTACATCCCCTTCAGAGAAAGCAAACTYACCAAGCTCTTCCAAGCCTTTTTCTGTGGCAAGGGAAAAGCCTCAATGATCGTCAACATTAACCAGTGTGCATCTACCTATGATGAGATGCTCCACGTTATGAAATTCTCAGCTGTCACCAAACAGGTTGGCATGAGCATCTAGAGAGATGAAACATGACGAGATGAAGATWGAATTTTTTAAAAAAATTTTAAATAGGTGGTTCAGGTGATTCCAGACAAACGTGTGGAGTCACAGAGTCCTTGTCTGTTTGGTCGAGACGGGAAGCTGCTCCTGAGGAACGGGGTGATTGATGACCAGATCGTTGAGAGCTTCCTGTCTGATGAGGAGCTGCTGGATGAAGATGAGGCTGATGTATCTCTGCTGCCACAAAGGGTACAACTTATTTTATGCATTCTGTTAGATCAACTCCAACAGTAAACAAAAATTTAAGCTGCATTCCAGTAGTCCTGGGAAGTGGTAATTTCCCTGTTCCCACTGATGGATTAGAACAGGAAAACCTCCTACTTAAAGTGGTAATATTCCACTGGTATAGTGGAAGAAATGAAACTGCCTCCAGTTTTGATTTCAAGATGGTGGCTACTCGCAGCTTTAGAAAGTTAACTCCACAACTTTTACTATTTTTCTATCTTAATTTTTTGTGCATGTTTAATCACTCGCACAAGTAGTGTTTTTCTGTGCAATACTGTAMGTGTTAAAATCAATGTTTACTTGCATGATGTATAGAGTACAGCTCTCTTTTTGTCAATGTTTATATTGTAGCAGTGTTATAGCTAGGTTAGCGGCAACAATACAATCACCTGCCGGCTAACTGGAATGCAGTTTCATATGGTTTGTTGGAAAATAACGTCACTACCAGTTCCCGGAATACGATGTAAACAGAACACAGCATCAATCTAGAGGCTAAGTACTCAGTGGATCCCCTTCACATTTTGCAACATTAAATTGCAACTAAATACCACAGCTACAVACTCCACCCCACCAAAAAAAAAAAAAAAAAAACCACTCAATGCACATTAACCCAAAACGACAAAATGGCAAGTGTAAAATGTAATGATACGCAGGGTTTCTTATAAATTTAAAAAAACAGAGTTCGATGCAACGGACTTGGCTCGGCTCAGAGGATTTTCTGCCATTCCATGTAAATCCCTTTGAGCTCAGTCCTGTTGGATGGCAACTATTGGAGCCATTTTTACGTCACTCCAGATACAAATTAACTTTAAACTGATACAAATCTAATTAGTCATAACTTTAACTGCACTTAGAATATTACAAAATGTAAATTTCCTAAAAGCTCTATTTTTTGTAGTTTCTGTGCTTTGAGTCTTAGTTACAGCAAACAAAAAATATAAACGCAACACTTTTGTTTATCCACTCAGTTCTAGTTTCCTTTCACTGCTCCATCTGAGATTTCTCCCATAGACAAGGATTTAATTGGTAGAATTTCAACTGGGCCAATCGGAAAACAGAAGTAGTGATTGAGGACATAGATTTTTCAGCGCCCTTTAAGTCTGCCTGTAGTTTAGCAATGGCAGCAGAGGAAGTGAATGAAGCCATTCAGTGTTGACAAGGCTTCATATTTAAATTTGTCTCTCAAAGCCTGCAGCACTCATGTACAGCCATCTCATTTGGTGCGGTACTTCTCTATTCCCAGTAGGGGATGACTGTTTACTGCACACCCAATTTCCGGTTAGCTTCCTTCAGTTGAGCTGGCGCACTACATATGTCATGACCAAATGTTAACTATCTAATTGTTTTAAACTTCAACAGAGTCCACTCCTCCAGCAAGCAATCATTTCTCAATAGCAGTGTCCAGACCCTCTGTACGAAGCAAAGCGTGGAACAATGGGCTGGTTTTTACCAGGCAAAGTTCCTGCGAACTTCCATCCATCAGCTTCACACAGCTATTCAAGAGGGGTGGACCACCATTCCACTAGCCTGGCCCTTGCCTTCCTACGCAGTTACGCTCAATTCTAGTTTCCCTTCACTGCTCTGTCTGGGATTTCTCCCATAGACAAGGATTTCTTTGGGAGCATTTCATTCGGGCCAATCAGAACAGAACATAGATTTTCTGCGCAGTGTCTGCTTGGAGTTTATTTTACCTGGGCCAGTCGGCAAACAGAAGGTGACGTTTTGAACGTCGATTTTCTGCGGAGTGTCCACTAGTTTATTAATGGCAGTGGAGGAAGTAAATGAAGCCAGTCCATGTTAAGGCTTCCAAATTAAATTAAATTTGTCTGACAAAGCAGCAGCTCTCATTTATAGTAGTCTCGTTCGGCTCGGTACTTCTCTCCCCTCAGTAGGGTTGTTTACAGCACACACGATTTTCTGTTAGCTTCTTAGCTTAGCCTCCTTCACAGTGACGTGTCATGGCCAACCAATCCAATCATTTTAAACTTCAGCAGAGGCCACGCCTCCAGAAAGAATTGCTTCTCCATAGCAGAGAGTCCAGACCTTGTACGAAGCAAAGTGAAGGACAAGGGTCTGGTTTTTACAGACTACCATTCCACATGCCACAACCTGATCAACTATGAGCGAAGGAGATGTGTTGCACTGTATGAGGGGAATGGTGGTCACACCAGATACTGACTGGTTTTCAGACCAGTTTTCAGTTTCGTTCAGTGTAGAACCTTGTGTACCAGTGTAGAAAGTTGAACCTTTGTCCCAGTCAGGGTATCACTCCACAACATGATTGTTTTATTTGAACATGCCTGGTTTCATTCAGACCCATTATATAAAATCTTGAGACAAAACCATTCAGGCTTGGTTTTATCAGACTAAAGAACCTTGTTCCTCAATCAGTCTTTTTTTAGTATTTAGATGTTTGGTCTTGATTGGCTTCTGTGGATCCACTCTACCATTAAACCTGGACCATTGAGAGGTCTGCAGACAGATTGATGCTGCGTTCACACCGAACACGATTTCAGCTTCAAAATCGCAGCCAACTCTGAAGTTTGAAGCTTGTGCACTTTGAGGTCAGACGCAGGACAGCTGCGCTGCACGGCGACAGCCTCCCCGCC